TTCCCCTGTACCCACCTGCCATCCATTCCATTATATGTGTGCCTGGGATTTCTGCTTTCCGGGGCGGGAAACCCAGTTGTGTTTTCTCCCCGCATGGAAGTGACGCCCCTCCAGAGTCTCTCCATCTCAAAGTGAAGCTGCAGCGTGAGCAATGAATGCAACTTTGGGGTCAGTGAAACCATGGTCCCTGCTTAAATGGGGGCTCTTGGTCTACTGGCCTGGCTTATAGCAGAAGCAAAAGGAGCAGCTAGTTAAAAGAAGTGTAAGCTAATTTCTTCTTTGTGTCAGAGAATCACTGCCAAGAACAGTCTGCAAAATAGACCAAAGGATTGTTACTGGAGGTCAGTCAATTGTTAACACAATGGGGAAAAAACCCATGTCTATACCAAAGATAGCAGTGGAAGGTCTTTAATCATCCGGTAAGCAAAGGAAATCAGTTTTACCCCAGGATAGGCAGGTGACTTTCAGGCAGTATTGGGTCATATTTGATGTCCGGTTGTTTTGTGGATACACCCAGTTAATATTGCATCAGCTGACTGCAAACAAGGAGAAAAAAAAGTTTACTGTTACTGTGTTCCTGTACCCCCTTTTTCTATGGCCTGAGCACATCAGTGAGTATTATTTTATCAGTGGGGGTCACATAAAAGTGAAATGGCTTTTGAGGAATCAAGGGAGAATCCATTTCAGTGACTAACAGGAATGCTGACTTCTTTTCCATGTGGCATTGTGTGACGTGTCTCAGGAAATGGAGGTGTATACCTGAAATTGCTGAGAGTAAAATGAGAGGCTTTCCTTAAAATTCTTCAATTGAGCGGGATGCACATACAAAACTACATAAAATCGGAAAAAGAAAAGTAAAGCAAGTTATTCAAGTCAGAGCCTCTTGTAGCTGGACACCTGCTGTTCTGCCAGACTGCTTTTACAATCTGCCCATGTGTAAATATCCCTGTAACACTCAGGCATCACTCCAGTTCTGATTCTGAATCTTCTGGCTTCTGTTCGTTTAAGATATAGTATCTAACCTTAATTACATTTTTATGTGTTATTAATAATGTCTTGTACTTTATATAGTGATATTTTCTCAGCCTCAAATAGTGTTTGTGTTCCTTAAATCACTTTTTAAAGGCCGTAACTGAAGTGGATGGTTGATTGTCTGGTTTTAACCGGGCCAATCTCAGGAGAAAAATCAAGCCCTTGTGAAGAGGTTTTACTTTAATACCGAGAGGCTGGATACAGCCACTTCCAGGTTCAAAACCACTTTGTTCTAAGTCTGATTCAGCAAAGTCCTTAAACGTGAGACACAGTTTAAACCCAGGGGGGTCATCAGGTTGACTGCAGCATGGCTGCTGGTCAGCTGCTTAAGTATGTTGCTGAATCAAAGGTTTCACACTTAATCCTTAACTTCTTATCAGAAGGGATACTAATAGAGCGCAGTAATATTCTGTCTGAGTAGCAATGGCAGGAGTACAGTCCAGAATGGAAACTTTGCTAGTCATTCTTCTGCCACGGAATGAGTGAAGACTGCTCTTGATACTACTATACTGATCCTAACAGCCCATAGGCTGAGCAGAGTATTTTAGAAATTCAGATGAACGAATAGTTATATTGCACTCATTGGTTTCTTTGACTTAATCGGTGATGAGGAGCCTGGGGGCTAGTGGGGAAACAGAAAACAAAATGAAGAGTCCGTGTGTTAAGTCTGTGATTTTCACATACAGAGTTCAGATGTCAGGCAGCCTAAAGGAGAAACTGTTTATAAACCCGCTCAGTGTAGGAATCTTGGCTGAATTCTAGCGAAGCCATTAGTTATCAGCTATGCACAAGGCTTCTTAAGACTATGGAAGTGGCTCAATATTTTACCAAATCCAGGATCCATGTGATAGATTGACTTGCTGGCATTTAGAAGTCAGTATTGCCAAGGTCAGTGGAAAGAAATTAATGCCTCATACCTTCCTCCACCTCAACTGAATGTCTTGTACTGGATTAAACAGCACATTTATCGGAAAAATATCAGTGTACTTTGAGCTCATTGATGCATTGGTGTTATCAGGACCATCCATCATTCAGTACCATCTCCATTTGCAATGAATATTTGACCCACAGTCATCTTTGGGAGAGGTATACCTGTAAAACACTTTCAGCTCTCACAGCATAAACATGCTTTTCTGGGGGAGGCAGGTTTTTTGTTTTGGTTTGCTTTTTTCCCTAAGGAAAATTCAGTTCCACAATGACTAAAATGGGCTGGATACAAGCAGTCCTTTGACACAGTTAAATCTAAAGTGTTCAGAGCTGAAAGTGTTATGTTCTGTTGAGCTGTGTGCTTGGTGTTTACTGTTGGTGTTGATGTCGCCTCCTTTTTCCATCCCCAAGAAGAAGAACCAGTAGAGAGTCCGATGGCTGTGGAAGCGAAACCTGCTGCTCTTCCTGGGAAGCAACTGGGGAAAGAGCACGGGCCCATTGAGCCTTCGGAACAGGCAAAGGGCCTCTGTGAGGGTCAGTCGGATTCGGGTTTGGAGGCGAAAGTGTGTCGTGAAGACAAAGTGCCAAGCGTGGCATCCAGCAGGGAGAGCGTAACTGTTGTGGCGGAAACGCCCCTGAGAGACACATCCCCTTCCTCGGCTGAGGAAGGTGTGTCCTCCTTAGGTTTGCATGTGTTTGTTGCCGGTGAATCCTTCTCCAGCTTTCTCCAGTGCTTTCCAAGGCTGCTTCATTTCCTGTTCTTCCCATTTATTAGTATGACTGCTCTTGTTATTATGCTTGAAGAGTGTGTAGCAGACAATATGATTGCATAGGTGCTGTATGACAACATGGTTTCCCACCACTGCGGCTGATTCCTGATTTTTTACTTTGCCATGATAAAATACGCTTTGCAGCTAAGCTGATTCCTCTGCGTAAGCCTTTTTCCCTCATCTCAGATGTGTTTGCCAGTCACATTGCTAATCTATGTATATTTTTTTCTTTTTGGTGCAGAGATTCATCTGCTTTTCTTTCAAAAAGTAGATTTATTGACTTTGGCTATGGCATAAAGAGGCTTAAACTGTAGAAATGTTTTCATTTGCAGTGTGCAGGTTTTTTGTTGTTTTTTTTTTTCTTCTTTGTATGTGTGTGTGTGCTTCAGTGCATTCTGGTTTAGCTTCCCTAAAGCTATCGCTTCTTATGTCATATCCTTGCCATTCATTGCAGTCCGCCCCTCTTCTCGATCATTGCCAGAACTCTGATTTTTTGTGTGTCTTACCTTATTACAAATGTTTAACCCTGCTGGAGTGCCTTAGTCAGGCAAAACCTCCATCACTTCCACTGGGATGTTTGCCTTCATAGTGAAGTTTAGGATTGGGTGCATAGGGTGAAGTTCTGATCTGCTTACTAAACCAAACATTTACTGCAATCAATTGTCTTTCAGTACATGATAACTACTCTTCAGGATTTTCCTTTTAATAGTATTTCTCTTCAGCCAGTGCAACAAGGTGTAAAGACACGTTGTATGGAGTAGTGATGTACCCATTCACTACCTGGCTAAGAAATGCTGCATTTGGGAGGCTGGGGTTCTGGCTGGCCCAGCTAAAGAGTATTAAATTCCTTTGGCAATCAGAATATGTTTTGATGCCATTGGTATTGTTCATTTGCACCACAGTAAGAGGCACAGTAGGATACATAAAGAAAGTGAGTATCTAGCTATTTAATTTCTGTGAAACGAGGATGACATCAGCTCAAAGGCCATGTTTCTATGCTTCATAGACTTTGCAAGTAAGTCACCAAATGTAAAAACATAAAGGAGCAAAATTACTGTAGTTGTAGACCTCTTGTTTTTCTACCTGTGGAGTTCAGAATGGCAGTTGCTTTTTTGACTAAATGTTAACATGAATATTTAAAGAATAACCAATATTTTGATACTAATTGTTCTAAAAAATTCAGATTCATCAGAGCAAAAAGATGGCTCCATGGACTTTAAATCAGAGATGAGGAGATTCAGAGTTGGCTCAATGCTTGTTGTAACAAGCTTTAGAAAAAAACTCATAAAACTTTTTTTACAGATTGCTGCAGAAAGTTCTGCCACATTCTGCAGTATCTCTCTTCATATTTTCCATGATAGGAAGATTTCCATATGATAGGAATCATTATTTTCCATAGGATATTAAAAAAGAACAAGCTATTAGTGATTAACAGACCGTGTATAAAAAAAACTTAACTAGGTATTACTCCCTAAAAATATAGTGACAGACAGTAAGAGTAGCATTTTTAGTTTCAAATTAACTTAATTAGGGCCTCATCTACAGTCATTGAAACATGCCAAGTATTCTTTGACTTCACTTACAGCTGAAGATGGCTGGCCATTTTGAAGACCAGACCTTCAAGATCTGGGACTATTAATAGCTCTGTGGCTGATTTACACATACCAGTTTCATAACAGCAGTGGGATTTTTGTCATTTGCCAAAGAGTAAATGTCAAAAGTTGGTACAGTTAAAAAACCAGCCTCTTTTGACACTTGCAAAACCTTTTACGCGCATTATTTCTTTAGCTTAGGCTGCATGTAGAAGAAAAATGTAAAATAGATCTAGAAACTATAACTATGTATGTTTTAAATGTCAGCAACACACAAAGATACCACCGATTGGCCTTAATCTTGCAGACTTTACTAACTCAAAACTAACACAAGTTACAGAGTCCAGGAAAGCATACCAATGAAGTGAGGGTTCCTTGTGGTTTTACTGTTGCATACAAACCATGAAGATAAAGAATTCACATGAAATCATCTCATTTCAGTGGTAACATATTTAAATGTGTACAACTCTCATTTTCACTATAAAACCTCATACATTGGAAGGAAACTAGGGTTTAACACTATAAAGCAGATTTCTAGGTGGATGGCCTTGCTGCATGTTTGCATCTTTCTCCCTCTCCTTTCCATCATTCATTCCAAGATGTTGTTGTAAGCCACATGACTGCCTGCCTGTAAGTGCTTTAAATAATTTTGTTATAAAACCCAAACAAACTACTTCAGATTTACTTGCAGCCACGAAGATGGAATTCCGTGTCCAGGAGGGCACACGCCCTTTCACAGCAGAACCATTAGACACAAAGCAACATGAATCTGGGAAAGACAGTAAGACTGGTGAGCAACCTAAACATGATGCCTTAGTTCCACAGCCAGCAAGAACAGAGGCTATAGATAAAAAGGATTCACAGAGCAAAGACAAAGAAAAAATGCCTTCACCTCTATCAGAACAGATCTTGAAAACTGATTCACAAAAGAAAGGGGAAGCCGGTTTTGCAGAGCCTGCTGCCAAGCCTCCTGCTTCTCAAGAACAAAAGGACTTGTCCTCTGAACTGCCTAAAGGGAGCAAAACAGAAGAAAGGACTGCAGATGTGCCCTCATCATCCAACCAAGTTATGTCTATGAAATTTAAAGACGACCTTAAAGATGTCCAAGATCTTGCCATCAGCCATGGTGAAAGTTCTCTGTTGCTATCAGAACCCAAGGCAGAAGCAGCCAAAAGTGGACTTCCTTCAGGCCCATCTCCCACTGTCCCCCACGAGCTTCCACTCAAAGACAGTTCCAAAACAAAACAGGAACCCACTGACCAACTGTTTGCCAAAGATCTCACTAAAGATGAACAGTTCCACAGAGACAGGACACTAGCTCTGCAAGAAGTCTCAGCAGTAACTGTAGATGGCCTGAAAACGCCAAGCACCCAGAAAATCCCTGCATGGGGGGAGGAAAAGGACATGACCAAGGATGAGAGTGATGAGGAAGAAAGGTATGACTTCTATGATAAAGGGGAGGCTCGAATATTAGATGATGGCAAATTTACCACAAAACCTGAAGTTAAGACACTTTCCCTAGACAAAGCAGACTTTCAAAAGGATGATGAAGCTAAAAAGTCACCTGATATTCTCAAAGCAGAAAAAGAAATGGACCAAAGTGGGCTCCCAGCAACAGTAGACATGAAAAAGGAGGTCCAGCCAAGCACACAGGTAGCCCCAGCCAAGTTAAGCCATGAACTGACCCTTGAGAAAACAGTAGAGCACCCTGATACCACTCAATTATCCAGAAAAACAGAGAAAGCCCCTGAGGCACCAAGTTTAACCGCTGACCAGACTGCTACCCTAGAGCCTTCTCAAGAGAAAGATGTTAAAAAAGATACCAAGGAGGATAAGACAAGTGTTTCCGCTCCTCATCAAATGAAAGAAGAGGAGGATCGATCGGGAATGTCGAAGTATTTTGAAACCTCTGCTCTGAAAGAGGAAGCCTTCAAAGCAGACGCTTTGAAACAACGCAGTGATTACTATGAGCTAAGTGACACTAAAGAGAGTGTGTATGAGCCTTATCAGACAGATCGTCTAATACCTGAAGACAAAGAGGAAGAGGAGGAAGAATTACAGACAGAATTGGATCAGCAGCAGAGTGGGCCTGCTCATGAAATAGGGTACAGTACCCTGGCTCAGAGCTTTACACCAGTCAAATCTGAAGAACCGAGTTCCCCGACAGAAAGAATGTTCACTATTGACCCCAACGTCTATGGGGATAAGAGAGAACTCCACAGTAAAAATAAAGATGACCTAACTCTGAGCAGGAGCTTGGGACTTGGGGGGAGATCTGCAATTGAACAGCGAAGTATGTCTATTAACTTGCCCATGTCCTGCCTGGATTCAATAGCTCTAGGATTTAGCTTTGGTCGTGCCCATGATCTTTCTCCCCTCGCTTCGGATATTCTAACTAACACTAGTGGAAGTATGGATGAAGGTGACGACTACTTGCCAGCAACCACACCAGCATTGGAGAAGGCCCCCTGCTTCCCCATTGATAGTAGAGAGGAAGATGAGCACATAGAAGAAGAAAAAGCAATAGCAGAAGAAAAAGTCCAGCCTGAGACTTTGGTCGAATCACCTTTCCTGGCCAAAGAATATTACAAAAATGGGGCTGTCCTGGCTCCTGACCTGCCTGAAATGTTAGACTTAGCAGGGACAAGATCTAGATTAGCCTCTGTGAGTGCAGATGCTGAGATGGCACAAAAGAAGTCAGTTCCTTCTGACACTGTTGTGGAAGACAGCAGCATAACCCTGCCACCTGTGACAGATGAAAACCACGTAACTCTAAAAGCTGAAAGTCAGCTAGAAGACTTGGGCTACTGTGTTTTCAATAAGTACACAGTCCCACTCCCTTCTCCAGTTCAGGACAGTGAGAATTTAACAAGTGAAACCTGTCCCTTTTACGAAGGCACAGATGAAAAACTGAGACGTGGCGTGGCTCCCGACCTGTCTTTAATAGAAGTGAAGCTGGCAGCAGCTGAAAAATCGAAAGAAGAATTCCTCAGTGAAAAAGACTTAGGTCAGCATGCCACTAGTGAGTCTGTTCTGGTAAGGGACTTTGAGCAGGAGAAAAAGGAGAAGCTGGATACTGTGCTAGAAAAAAGTGAAGATCAAGTTGATTCTAAAGAGGTCTATCCCATTAAAGGTGCAGAGCCAGAGAAGACAAGACCTGAGGCAATCTTAGAAATGAAAGAAGAAAGTGTGGCTGACAAAGTTCGTGTAACTGATGACACCATGTACGACAGAATATCAGCTTCAGAGATAGCAATAGAGAAGGATGCTGTTTCTTTGTTGATGGAGAAGGAGGAGAAGACTCTTAGCGTTGTTCCTGAAATAGCTGAGATAGAAGCACCAATAAAACCAGATTACAATGCTATAAAGCACGATTTGGAAGTGGCTGCAAGGAGAGCTGACCAAGAATATCAGAGTCAGTTAGATACCAAGATCAGTGACGTTGTTTTTCTCCCTTCAGGGAAGGACAAAGTCTCTGTTAAAAGAGCAGAGCCTGAACTCAAGGACACTCAACAGAAAGATCAGACCATCTTGTCCAGAGAAGCAAAGGATGCAGATGTACTTTCCAAGACTGAGCCTAGTTATGTGAAGGACAGCACCAAACTGTCTGAAACAGAAATTAAGGAAAAAGTAACTAAGCCTGATCTGGTACATCAAGAGGCAGTTGATAAAGAGGAATCTTATGAATCTAGTGGAGAGCATGATCAAGCCCAAGAAGGTTTGAATGGAGAATCCTTGAAACCAGAGGATATCAAAGCAGAACCTCCAAAACCTCCCGTGTGTGGGGAAGAGGCGCCTGCACAGTTACCAGCAAAGGAGCCTTCTGTGGAGCTCCTCCTTCCAAAAGCTGAGCCTCTCCAGGAAGAGCCCGCTGAGATTCAGATGGAGAGCATACCACAGCCTGCAGAAGAAACTGAAAAGATTCCTGATACAGCTGTGAAATGTGTGGAAATCCAAAAGCTGCTGCCGTGTGAAGTGACAGCTGGGGCTACAAAAGCGGAAGAACATGAGGAAGAAGAGGCAGAAGTAGGGCAAGAAGAAAAAGAAGAGGATAAACAGCATCTTATATCAGAAATGCCCCCAGAAATAGACTTTGGGAAACCTGCTGCTGAAGAAATGCTAGCCGAGGGTGGCCCAGAAGCACTGCCTGAACTGAAAGGCATTATTGAATCAGTGGTGACAGTAGAGGATGACTTTATCACAGTGGTGCAGACAACAGTTGATGAGGGTGAATCCGCTTCTCACAGCGTGAAAAAAATCGAAACAGGGGACTCCCAGGCTGAAGAGGAGCTGGAGGTTGAGGAAGTGGCTGACATGCAAGTTGAGCCCAAGGAGGGCTCCCCAGAAGCTCCTGCTTCACCCCAGAGAGAAGAAATCCTGCTCACCGACTACAAGACGGAGACGTGTGATGATTACAAAGATGAAACAACAATCGATGACTCCATCATGGACACAGACAGTCTCTGGGCAGATACTCAAGGTGTGCATTATCCTTTCTGTTTTGTCTGTTAAATATTTTTGCTTCCAAATCATAATGATCAAAAAGCAAAATTATTATAGTTATAATAGTAATCTCAGCATGTGTCATAAAAATGGTAAAATAGTCTGCCTTTTTTTATTAATCCGTCTGCTCTGTCTTCAACTATTTTTTCCCTGCTCCACCGCAGTATTGTTAACATTTGTTACTAATCTTTTGTTTGTTGTTGTAATTTGCTCTGATCCTACAGATGATGATAGGAGCATCATGACTGAACAGTTAGAGACTGTTCCTAAAGAGGAGAAGGCAGAGAGAGAATTGCGAAGATCATCTCTCGATAAGCATAAAAAAGAGAAACCTTTTAAAACTGGGAGAGGCAGGATTTCTACTCCCGAAAGGAAAATAGCTAAAAAGGAACCTAGCACACTCTCCAGAGATGAAGTGAGAAGGAAAAAAGGTTCATTTAAGACTCCCTATTACAATATATACTTTTTTTTTTTACCTGTTGTACAGTACTATCCGGTTACTCTGTTGTAGATGACGTGCACTTAACAGTATTAACAGTAGTGCTTTTTAATGAGATGTTGTACAACTATATGAAAAGCCATGTGCAAGGCTCACTGCTCCACCGGTCCCGTTTCATTGTAGGCATCCCCACTGATCACTGGGTAACACATCTGAGGTTAATGCATCAGTGCTCCCCCCCTTCTGACTTAGGATTTGTTCACCCCGGTAGAAGCAACGCATCGGGCTGGAGTTGTGGAGCAGTGGGCCTGCCACTTGATATATTGTCGTATGAAACTGTTTGCTGGTTTTTTCCTGATTCTGTGTTTTTGTGTTTTCTTGTCCATAGCAGTGTATAAGAAAGCTGAACTTGCTAAAAAAACTGAAGTTCAGGCCCACTCTCCCTCCAGGAAAATCATTTTAAAACCTGCTATCAAATATACTAGACCAACTCATCTCTCCTGTGTTAAACGGAAGCAGACAGGTGACTGCGTTCTGTTCAGTTATGCAATGTGGCTGGCAAACATAGACATTTTGTTTTTTTTGTAAATCTCATGGCTATAGCAGCTTCTCTATTTTTTTATTTTTTCCTCTAAGAATATCAGTCTTCACAAATAGTATTGCTTTTTTAGTGTTTTGTATCATTTTTCTTTTCTTCTTTCATTCCTGGTATTTGGTTTTTTATTTAATGGAGGCCATGATCATGTATGCTTGTCATTGCTTGGACCTCCAAGTGCTGTGGTTGTAATTCGACATCGTGCTTATAGTGTGGTGTTGTAGGAATCTCTACTCATCGTTTTGTTCTTCTTTTTTTTTTTAATTACGCTTTTTTGTTTTTTTCTGGTGGGAAAATGTTGACAGCTTAAACCATGTTATGCATTTCCATTATTTTGCTTTTTTACTCTCATGCATAATAAGAAGTGTTTCAGACTTATGTTTTGTTGATTGATGTTATCTGCATTGACACTTCCCAATCTGTCACTGATGTTTATGCTGTACAGTCAAAATCCACAGGGGGAATCCAGCCACATGCAGCATGAAGCTGAGAGAGAAGAAATCTGGGCTCACACTACGAATGCATTCCAAGCAAAAATCTTAATATTTGGTAGAGGAAGATGAAAGAACGAAACAAATGATTCCTGTTACATCTTGATAGGTGTATCATTATTTAGAGGACTAAAAATAACACTTTCAGCATTTTCATCGTATTACTTGTTGTTACTGTGAGTTCAGGGTGGAAAGACGAACATCTTGACTTTTCTGGTGAAAAAATTTGCTAAAAGAGGCCAGGTTTTCTGTCATGTAACATAGCCGCATGCTGCAGTGCGGTTGTTCATGAGTGAAACTAGGGCTATTAAGAGAAGAATCATGCACAGGAATGCAGAACTACATAGGCCTCTTCTCATGGCTTAGAAATTTAAGAACAGGATTTGTTACCCATCCTATAGTTAAACAGTGCAAAAGTGTTCCTAAGAAGTTGCTCCCATCCAGTTTTGCACCGATGAGTCACTCCTGTTCTAAATTTAGACCAGTCTCAGTATGGAGGTCTGACTAGTGAAAATACAGTAAAAGGATAGTTACGCGAGGGTAGCTTTAATATCGTGCCTCAGCTGATGAAGTGTGTGTTGTCTCGTGGTTGTATTCCATTAGGACAAAAGAACTAAACACTCGGTCCCATTGCCTTGCTCCTGTGAGGGAATCTGGCGCGTCTGCTTCCCCCTCAGGAGAAATGGAGCCAGGGAAGGAAAGGCTGGTCCAGGCCCCTCTGTGTTGCAGTGATGGCTCCTCCTCAGTTCCCAGTGTCTAGGCTGTCCTGACTTGCACTCTGGACCAGAACTACCCAAGAGTGAGGAATTTTGAAAAAGGGTTAAAAGAACTCTTCTTGCTACCTCTTGCTGTTTGCTGAAGCACAGCTTGATCAACTCAGAAGTTATGACCCATAATTCACATATTCTTTCAAAAGACCCAAGGGGGTTCAACAAGTGGTGTAAATGGGGGAAAACAATGTCGGTTTTGTTGTGTTTGCAACTTCGTCTACACTTCTACAGCCACATGGTCAGTGCTGTCTTGCCCTCAGATACTCCAGCACTAACTCCTCTGAACTCTTCTGGCCCGGTGACATCCCGGAGAGGCCCGAGTCATACCGATAGACTCCCATAAGGAAATCTGCCCAGTGCCTTAAATGTGTGCCGCCTGGCAACTGGCAGAGCTTTGTCTCTCTCACTCTAACAGCTAGCAAAGCAGATATATTAGTCCAAGTGAAAAATGTAATACAAAAATGACCTCCCACTACATTTAAATTCTGAGATGGAGAGCAACCAAAATAATGGACCCAGATTGATCATAAAATCTGCAGCAATGTGGGTTGAGCTTTGAGGTGTGGGCTCTAAAGCAGAGTAGCTTGAACCACACCACAAAGCGAACAAAACTAGCTCTTGGAATGTTTCACCACACTCAGTGTTGCTGGAAAATTTAGTGTCCCTTATTTTCTTCTACCTCTCCTTTTTATAATTACTGATGGGACTTGAGGGGAGGCCATGTGAAAGGATATCACGTAGCACTGCACTCTAAGAATGTAGGCGGCCATATGTTAACCTACATATCCCTGAGCCTGAACCAGTCATCCAACTCTTTCCAGAATCTGGAATTTAGAGGGACATTGTCTCTCTCACCTTTTTCCTTTTACGTAAAATATAGCACCGTTTCTTGAAGCCAGTTTCGACTGTCAGTGTGTCCTATTTGGAATGTCTTGTCAGCTTTAGTGATACGTGGCCAATGGACCCCCATCAAAAGTCCCTCGGCAGTGAAGTCTATAAAACTTTGAGTATATTGCAGTGAGTTAAAACCTTCGTGTTGCACTTACTGTGACTTTAAAATGAAACATGCCTAGTCATAAGTGTCTACAACAAAAAGTTAATATTTGCTCATATTTTCTGCGTAGTGGCCTGAGAAATGACATCTTTCCACTATTTTCCCCTCAATACCAGAAAAAAATTCCCATGTCATTGTGAGGTAAGCACTGGCAAACACTGGTAACTTACAGTGCCACATCCACAAGGGCGGGACTGCTTTTTAAGAGTCTCATCCGTGCCATTCGAAAAAGAAACTGCGTGGCCAATTCTGAGGAAAGAGTTGTGAAGTCTTTGCCTTGACTGGTGTAGTTCGTGAGTGAAACCTCAGTCCGACTCATGTTTTGTTGGTGGCTGTGAGACGCCACAGCCGTTGTGCCATCAGAGGAGTATTTACGGTGGCAAGGCCAGGACAATTACCTGGCTATGAGCAGGAGTCACTATGTGATATGCTTCTGTTCCTTGTTTTCAATTCTGGGGTCACCCCCTGAGGTAAAACATGTTTGTCGTATATTTAAACTGGCAGCAGAGCCTGTAGAGATCTTTTGTTCAGATGGAGAAGTTGGGGTGCTTTCGGGTGAGTCAGCACAAGCAGCACAGCTATTCTTTCCACGTCATAGTGGTGGCTGGTTAGGGTTCAATACCAAGGGAAGGAGGAAAGAAGCTATTTGTGATTATTTAGAAGAGATGCAAAACAGACCAAAACCAGCAGTAACAGATGTGGTAAAATGTGATGCGGGAGGGCTGTGCTGTACTTATCCCTGTTACAAACTCAGAAGAACTGAAGTACACAGTTATATATTCTCTTCCTCCTCACAAGTTTTCTCTCCTACTCCTTCAATTTAAAAACAACAGCAATGAAATTAGATTAAGAGGGCAGAACTAGAGTGGGAAGTGTGGCAGAAAACCAGGGATCTCCTCAGCACGCCTGGGAACTGCACAGGGAAAGGAGAAAATTCGTTGGTTCTGTCCTGTACGATGTGTTAGCGTTGGTTTGACAGGTGGGTTTACAGCAAAAGGTTGTCATCTGTGACCACCGTCCTGCTTCTGCATTTACTAAGGGCATCCTGGCACAGAAGCCAAAAGATTTCACATCTAGTTTTTGTGTGGCAAATCGCTTCCTGAACAACAGTGTTGGGGTGAAACTAATAACCTGCTTTCCAAAAAGCTGCCCCATTCCAAAACTTTTTGTAAGGATGGAATCTAAGTCAGAGAGAAAAATCTTACCTCAGACCATGTTGTATCAGATAAATGAAATGCTGAATTAACACACTTGATGTCCCAGATACAATTTGAATTGCTAAAGTCTGAGGGCTTAGTTGACCCATGGCACACTGACCTTCTTGACGCAACTAGGATGAAAATTCAACAGTGAATCTCTCTCTTTCCATTAGGAACATGCCTAATATTTTGGAAAGTGGTGATTTCAGGGGCCTCTCTTAAAATTTTCATTTGTGGATTACATAAAGGAGCCTGATATTTAGCAGACAGTCCTGAAAATTGGGATGCTAAAGTGTCTGAGGATTGACCTTCAGAACTAGAGCCTCTTACAGTTGTCAACTATTTCTTGAACTTTTTACTGTAGTTTCTAGACTTCTAGAAACATGAATACAAAATTTCAATTTGTTTGAACTGTGTAGAATACCATTTTACATCAAGTATGATGAATATAGGACATTTTTAAGGCAGGTACATTTCTGCATATAGTCCACTGAGAGTAATTCACAAAGTAATTACTTTGCACGGTAGTTAAAAGGCATTTAATTGTTCTAATAAGTGTACTAAGTGGAAAAGCTTATTATTTTTGTTTTTAACTATCAAGTCTTTCTTTGGGTCTCTCAGCAGCAGGTGGTGAAACAAACCAGGCTCCTGGTGTATTTAAACAAGCAAAGGAAAAACTCTCAGTGAGTAAAATCATCTTATTGTTCATCTTTATAATCTCCTTTTGTCCTTATTTCAGATCTTTTTGTGTTAATTCAGTACGTAATTGTGTGTTCCATTTAAAATTTGTGTTCCATATAGAATTTGTTTGCCATATTCATTATTCATTTAAAAGAGTAATTAAAACCACCTTTCCTGAATAACCTCTGAATTACAGTCCCAGGTAGTAGATGATGACAGTTTGCAGATCCATAGGGGGCACACAAGACTCCAAACTGCAGGAGTTGGATGTTGTTCAGCATTTCGAGCCAGGTCATCCTTTGGGATAAACTGCGTACCTTGGCCCTTTCTGCAGCGCCTGACTCGTACTGCCACCTTGCTTGATTGCTGTGCAGGCAGAAACCCTCCCCCGGGACTCACTGGATGTCTTCTGATGCAGCATTACATAGCCGTGCATTCTGCAGAGGTCATGCCTGTGTAGAAATTATTGGCCAGTAGCGTTTTATATGCGATTAAGTGCTTTCTGAATGGCCATTTCCTGGACTGCTGATTTCTGTCTGTGTTTTAACCTGACAGTTACGTGCCCTGCCTTCAGCTGTCTGCAGCCTGTTCTGCTCCCTGTGTCTGGCTCTCCTCTCCTGAGTTTCCTTCAGCAAATGCTGCAGTGTCTCTCCGCCCTGCTCCCATGCCGACCCCTACGCTTTTCCTGTCCCACCACTCCAAAATCCCCAGGAAACCAACATCCTTTCACTATCCCCTGTGCAACTGTTTTTTACATGACACTGACACATGTTAATTCACATCTGCAGCATGACAGTACTTTGTCATTGTTAGCCCTCATTAGGGGCTGACAGAAGTTCTTTAGGATTCCTCTAAATTTCCTAATATATTCCATGGCTGATTTGTTTCATCTGTCTAACCAGATCATCAATTCTTTGGGGAACAAAAAAACCCTGTCTCATAAAGTGCTGCACGTTATTTATGAATCATAAGAAATTGTTAATGATGATAGCAGCATAACTGATTGGAGGCTTTGGAAGAGCTGTGAAATTTAGACCTGAATTCAGCCATGGATTCTGGGATTTCGTGTGGTTTTTCAGGTCTGACCCATTTCAGCTCGTAACTGGGAAACTGATAGAGGTTCTTTACAAGTACAGGAAGAAATATCTGGTCAGGTTTCTGGTCTGAATCAACAGTATGGTTTATTACTGTCTTTTCTTGGGGGCTGATCAACACTTACGCAAAAGAAGTCAATACTAGCCCATTTTCAGTCTCATCTGTGTTCGTGGAGTGCTCTGAGTACAAGCACTGCAAAATAATTCTCTGAAATTATCTGCTTTCTATACACCTTTCTTATTCCTGTCCTTTACATTATGGCAAAGATGAGAAGTCTGTCCCCTGCTTACTTTCTCACCCTGTTGCCTCACTTCTCTGATTGCCACACTCGCGCATCTCTTGGACGTTTTCTCTTCTGTGCCTTGGCTTCACCTCTGCTTTTATAAAGACCTCTCCCTTTTTGTTGTGTTTCTTCCTCATTTTCAGCTTTTGTGTCCTTCAGGTGCAGCCTTTTCCTCTCTACTGGTAATGTTAGATCATCCAACCCGGTCAGTTTTGTTATCCATCTTCAAACTACAGATTTCATACTGCTTTGCAGAGCAAGTTCAGGAAAGGCTAAGCAGTTCCATCTGCTGGAAGGAGCTGTGTACCTGCGGTAGCGAGATGCTGAGAACATTGGTCATGTGTTAGGAACACCTCTGAAATAAAGTGAGGTTTCTGCATCCCAAGTTCAGCAATCCCTGAGTCTTAGTCAGGGTTACATAGCTCTTTGTCCTGTGGACAGCTGGTACTTCCAGCAACATGGATTATAACAGAGGTCAAAGGTAATGTATTGCTAACAGAGAATAAGAATAGTTTTCTGGGTAAAGCACAGGCAGGGATGGAGGCATTTGGTTTCTCTGCTTGCTATACCAGCCTTGAGCATGTTACTGAAATCTGGTTGGGCCAGATTCTGCTGTTATGACTGATGCTAAAAAGTGCCTTGCTCCCTAAAAAACACTGAGGGGATCTAGACTGTGATAATCTCAGAGCACTTCATTAGCCAAAGGTCATGCCTTTTCCCCAGCTGTTCCACCGAAAGATCTCAGTCTTGTCCGTCTATAGCATCCCTGTTAGATGTACATATTCACGGAGGACACTGTATGCAATATGAGTGAAAAGGACAAGATCTCTATATTGTGCCTAGAATCTTAATCCGTAAGAGTTTTCCAGTCTCGTTAGGGGAAACATTTCAACTTGAAATGTTTGTTGAAAAGTTGAAAAAGTTGAAAAAGGCAAAAACCACTGAATGAACATTTGGGCCTCAAACTGTGCAAGCTTAGTTATATCTCAAGTTCAGAAAACTGGGTGAAAGGCGTTTGCAGAATGTCTGCTTCATGGAGCCACCCAGCATAGATACCCTGCTTCCACAGAGTTTCAGCATCAATAAACGCCTTAGTGGATTTGTAAATATGGCCCAAAGTTTCACAGGTGGATGGGACCCATGAATTGAACTCTGACAAATCAGTCAAAGTCTGGAGAAGACTTTGATGTGACAGAAGCACATATTGTTCAGTTTCTGTTTAAAATAATTATTCACTGATTTTATTCTGTGTATTCTCAGATAGTGAAATAAGTATTAAAAGAAAGAGATGTAAATATGTGCAAAACTCTTTCTAGGAATATATTCTTGCTAGCAAAGCACTTCCATCCTTTGAACTAATTTCTTGTCTTGCTCAGTAGAGCTACTTGATATGGATGATGATACCCAATCATCTAGTCTTCTCAGCTGTGTTGTAGGACTGGAATTGTTTGTTACACAGTTCTGCAACTCTTCAACTCTTCATCATGTTGATGATGTCATGGATGACATTCAGCACACCAGCCTCAGTTTTCTGTAGGCTGGGTATGTAGCCTAAGCCAGAAGCCTGTCAGTAGAAAGTTGGCAACCCATTCTTTCCTCATTTTCTATGATTCTATGATTCATTTTCTAACAAAGACAACTTAAGGAGTAACTCGGACACCTTTTCTGAACATCAAGAGAGTCTAGGTGACTGACTTAGATCAAATGCCAGATTTTTCATGGCTAAAGTTCTGTACCACATCCCATAATTACAGGCCCATTGGGATTGGTCCTATGTGTAACTTCATGCTTGTATGAATACAGAGAGGATCAGGACTACATTGCCAAGATAACAGCCTTGCAGTTGTTCTTTGTAGTATCAGTTATACCCATGGGAGAAAAAAAGTGTTGCTTAAGCAAGTAGCCCTTTTGTCTGAAGGAAATGCCTTTTGCAAAGCAGTTAGGTGCTCCTAAGTGTCAACAAAGAATTTTCAGTCTGTCCTATTGATGTTTAATTGTTCTTTCGACGAGGTATTATCATTATTCAGAATCAGACGAGTATCTGACCACAATGACTTATCATGTTAGCCTTTCAACCATATACGGGTTTCCTCATCCCAGGACTCCACATTGTCACTCTACAGAGTGACACCAAATGCACAGAATACAATGTTTGGGGTGCATTAGGGATTTTGTGTGTACACAGTGGCACAAGAAGCAATACTGTCATGTCATTCTGCCATTGTGGGAATGCTGGTGTAACTTTGCTTTTACGATTCCCACTGTTTTATTCTTGACTGTAGCCTGGAGGGATATATTTCAAATGCACAACTTAGTTTTAAAGGACTAGGATCTCTTGGTGCTCCTGTAGCTTTGCACTTGCTTCTAATGCAGCCCACCAGCAGTTGTACCAGTTAAATGCCGCACCTGACATCAGTTTTGTCCTATTAACACAAGACAAAAATAGCATCTGCAGAAAAAGGCACTTCCTAGAATCAGTAACTCTGTCCAGACCCAGATGGTTTCAGTCAAACAACACAGAACTAAAACTTTCATGCATGTCAGAACTGCATAGACACCATTACCAGACACAGGAAAAGTATTAATTCATAGCTTGGCATTTTTTTTTTGGTCCATGTTGCATGTTTTTTCCTTTTGTCCAGCTTCATGTTGTGTTTTCTTTTGTTTGTTTTCTCATGACTAGACTGCCTCTTTGTCAAAGATTCCTGCCTCAAAGTCTAGAGCAAAGTCATTGCTTCCTCCAAGACCCAGCTCAGCTTGCTCATTAACTACTAAAAGGGCCACTTTTCTCGATACAGACAGTTATTCTGTACGGCCCTCCTCAGCAGGCCCAAGAGACTGCTTGCCCTACTCAAAATCAGATGCTAAGGTAAGGTAGCAGAGTTGGTAGAGAGAGTTAGCTTGGAGGTGTGTAGGTGAATTCCATGGATCACATTCTCTCCCCACTGAATTTGAGTAATTCTCTGTGAAGCTTACGTGGGATTACTTACATCCAGTGGCAGGAAAACTGATTATCAGGCTACAAGATTTGTGTTACAAAATGGATAGAAACAAAGGAGATTCTCCAGAGGAAACATGAGTGAAATAATTTGTAACTAGAAGGATATATCTTCCTTCTACTGATGATATGGATGCTGCTTCATTGACTGCTAAGAAGTTGCACCCATTTGCATGCGGGTAAGTGGCAAAGAACAGCAGTACTAATTTACCTTCCAAGTTTAAAAAAATGTAATTTTCAACCAGTTAATATTCTCTGAAAACAAATTCAATCCCCAGTGTAGGAGGGTGCAGTTCTAATCACCAGCAATAAGGGCGGAAGCCAAATGCTCTAGGAACCTAATTTGGTCTATGCATGGGACCATGCTGAAGAAGTTGCAATATAAATTTAAAGAAATGTTTGGCAGTCGATCCTAGCTTCACCATGTTTACATTTCACTTTTGTTTCAAATCTACTTGATGCCAAGTTGATGACTATCCCCATTTAAAAACTGTTTTCACTATTAACTTCCATTTTCTGTGTAACGCTATGCTTGATGTGTCTTTTACTGGTTGGGACCATCATCATATTTGTCTTTGGGAGGACTATCTGCTTATGCAAGACTGTCTTTGGCTGCCCATCCCATAAGTTCAAAAATATTCTAACATATATGTCCATTGCTCTAACCCTGGTATAAAGAAGGTATCTGCTGATTTCAAAAAGTAAAAAGACAAGTATGGAAGGAAATAAGACACCAGGATTAATAGTCCTGCACTCAAAAAATAAGCTGTAGCTAAAAATTTTTCTCCATAAAAAAATTACAAGTTAGTGTTTGAAAATGCAAAAATCACACATCACCTAACAATGTAGTGTGGGGTGTATTCTGGGCACCGGTACTGCAGTTACTTTGCAGGTAAATTTACATAAGAATGTCACAGCTGAGCTCCAGAGAATTTTTTTACTTTCAACTTCCACTAAAAAAACCTTGTTCCTTATTAAGAACCAAATGTGGAATCCATCCATATTTAAATCCAGGGGTATCTGTATCTGTCTTAAGCAGCTCAAAAGGTGACTATTGGGTGTTCTAATGCAGTAAAGAAGCACCAGGGAGCTAAGCAGAGCATGGGAGGTGGCTGGATCCCACAGCTTCCTGTGTGAGTAGTAAACTGGGCCCACAGGATGAGGTTTCCCCCTCTGTATATAGGTTGAGAGAACTCACAGCCCAGAGTGTGAGTTTTGAAAACTAAACCTTCCTTTTTTGTTTTGCTACTATTAGGATGGAGTAAGCAAGAGTCCCGAAAAGCGTTCCTCTCTACCAAGACCTTCCTCTATCCTTCCTCCTCGAAGAGGTGTATCAGGAGACCGAGACAGAGAGGAGAACTCTCTCTCCCTCACAGCTTCCCTTTCCTCTTCAGTACGACGGACCACCCGTATGTGTTTTGCATATTAACCCTCTCCTACTGCTGTGAATGTCTCCCACCCTTGTTAGATTTGTCACATTGCCATAGCATCGAGATGTAGGTCTGGGGTATGCTGTTGGAAATCAGAGCTCCACAGACTGGTTTTGGTCAGATACCAAGGGCTTGAAACCAGGGTCAGGATGCACCCTTTCTGTAGTCTGCAATGCCCAGAGCTAAGACTGCTGTTCAGACTAATCGCTAATACTAGAAAATGCCCTTGCAGGGAGCTCAGAGCTAGGTAAGATATTTAATACAGAGCATTTACAAACAGCAGCAAGTAAAATGAGACAAACCTGAAGTAGGCAATATAAAATATTCTGATGGATCTTGGAAAAGTGTTATATATATAATATTAGTATTATAGCCATTAACTTGCTGTTTCACAGTAATGATCTCCCTGTGCTCTAATCCTAGGGTAAAAACTCTGCTGAGAATTGAGATGTTAGCTAGTGGAGTGACTCATTGGGGGAAGTTAGGATAGTAAACCAGCAAGGTCCTTTTATGAGGACCGATGTTATCAAACAAGCCAAAAGAAATTACAGGACAAAGATAATTTTACCAAATACCCCCAGAACTTTTAGATAGATTTGCATTCAGCCAAGGCCTCAGAACCTGTGGCTCCCTGCTTTCCAATAGGAATTCCTCTGGTTTCTCTCTTTAGAAACCAATTTCAATCCCTTTTAAGACAGCTTAAGGGAAGTAGATGGTTAAATTTTACAAAGAAAATCCTTTTACATTCTTGGGTGATGCTCCAAGGGTAAAACAGAGACCCTTTGTAAGCAGAGTGACCCCCAGCTGGCACAGCAGCCCATTCTGCTGACTAGGAGTGAGAGGCCGTTGAGCATTTGTCAACGTGGTGAAGGGCTGAGGAATGAAAAATAAATATACCAAAGCTGCAGGGAGCTGGGGGGGGGGGAAATCATTCCCTTTCTGTCTCAGTTGGTATAGTGAGAAGGTTCTGGTTTAGGGTTGGTTTGCAAAGAAAGAAACCATTCAGGGAAACTGGAGGTGAGAGTAGAGTATGTTCAGTCTATCGAATGAGTCATGTAGAGCAAAGAGTTTCTCCTGGACTCCAGGGGCAGCAATGCATTGCATTTGGTCCACCACCATTAAATAAACAGAATGATTAACAAATAGTTAAATAAAATTTTGATTAGTCCCACTGGATGCTCTAGAGAGGCCCATTGGATTTTTAATTCCTGAACATTTTAAAGGTGAAAACATTTATGCACCCTTTTGGCATTGGGATTCTCAGGCTTTTCGGGGTTGGTTTGGTCTTTCTGTCCCTAAGCATTCTCAGCAAAGCTTTGCTTTAAGCAGCATGTGGAGGTATCTCGGCTTCTATTCATTTGTGTTTGAGAGTTACCATCAGAGCTGGCTGCAGAAAGCACAATGCCACTACTGAACTGATTCTTGTGCTCAGTGAAAAGGACTGGCAATGCCATAAACACTGAATGGAGCCGCTACAAAATGTTACAGTATTTATTTATTTTTAACTTGTGTGCAGATGTAACTAGAATGTGACTTTTAATCAAGGTTGCTTCTGTAATTGCTTTCTTTCACTGCACTAATGAAAAATGGCAATTGAACATGAGGGACATCTGCCCATCCACACAACAGAGCTATGACTTGTTCATCAGCTGAATGCTCACCCAGATTACCAGCAGTGGTATGTGATCAGCAGCCGGCAGGCACTCAGAGTCTTTAGTTTCAGGACTGCAGTCAGAATTTTCCCCACTTTCTAGTTTAATGCCCAAATCCATTGAAATTGGTGACAACATTCTTACTGGCTAGTCAGGCTGTCAGATCAAGTCCCAAAGGTTAGATTCCAAGGGTCTTGGAATCTTCTAGTCCCAAGACGGAAATCGATGTGATATTGTGCCTTGTTTAGCGAGCTTTGCAGGAAGCATAGGTGTTGTGGGAAGCACACCTGTGTTAGAGCGGAGAGCTCAGTCACCATGTGGGCAATTTACCAGCTCAGCCACACGTGACAAGGTAACTCCTGGCAGGTTGATTAGCAAAATAAGACACAGAGACAGACATCCAGCTGTTCCAGCACTAGCACAGCCATCTTAGAGCTGTATCTCACTTGGCACACAGGGGTGCAGTCTTGGGAGGTAGAGAGGGAAGAAGAGCTGTATTTCTGTGGGTCTAATGCTGTTTTTTTTTCTTGCATGTAGGATCAGAGCCAATTCGTAGCAGAACAGGAAAAAGTGGAACTTCTACCCCCACTACTCCTGGTTCCACTGCCATCACTCCAGGGACACCACCAAGCTACGCCTCCCGTACCCCAGGCACTCCAGGGACGCCCAGCTACTCCAGAACCCCACACACTCCTGGGACCCCCAAATCTGCCATATTGGTACCTACTGAGAAAAAAGTTGCCATAATTCGTACTCCTCCTAAATCTCCAGCCACTCCAAAGCAGCTAAGAGTTATTAATCAGCCTCTACCTGACCTCAAGAATGTCAGGTCCAAGATTGGATCAACAGATAACATCAAATACCAGCCCAAAGGCGGGCAGGTAAGGATTCCACTCTTCATGTTCATGCATATGTGATTTAGTCTTATGTGTCCACCTTTGGGATAGGTATGGGATGGGAGCCATTTTGAGTTGCCTTGCAAATGTTGCTTCTGTTGTCCATATACATTGGTTGTTTAAGTGATGTTAAATGGCAGGGGCCAGGACAATCTTCAGAAAAGTATTTTGTCACCTGAAAACTAACAGTGCCTCACTGAGATCAGTTGAAAAATTTGAAACAAGAGTTTGCACTCCATGTCATACCTATGTTTCAGCCTGAGTCTCAGCAGTTGCTGCTTACTTAGTCTTCATCAATACCAGCAAATGAGAGAGATTTGTTTTAATTCAGGCAAGTTCAAATTCAACCTAGATAGATGTTACAGGATTGCACAGCACCATGACCTTTTTCTGTGTCATTTTACGTGACATGTGCATTGTGTTGGGTGATGTTAATGAGGGTTGCAGCCTCCAGCCTAGTAAATCCACCCCACGTTAAAGATGATGGGAGGAGACAGATATTGGACTTAACTGTTTTTCTTGCTGCAGGGTTTGAATAAGCAGGAACAGGGCTTAAACTGTATAAACTGGAGAATGTATATAAAATAAGAAAAGGTGAATGTGTAAGAAGGCAGATCAGGATTTTCTGTTCTCACTGTCTGAAAGAACAAGAATTCAGGGACATGTTGACGCAATTAAAAGCTGAAAAAAAAGAGATCGTTTCATACCTTGCAGAGTTATGCAATGAAGCGCATTGTCATGAGGATTGCTTTTGGCTAAAGACTGAACATGTGTGTAGGGTAGCAAAATCCCCTGTTACTACAGACAGAACCTACCAAATTTTGGAAAGGACAGTAAACATGTAGGCTTTTAAGCTAAGCAGAAGCTTTTGGAGACTGAGGAAAGATCAGATAGGAAGTACCATAAATCTTACTGAGATACGGTGTTTATACCTTCCTCTGAAGAATCTCTGCTTGATGCCCTACCAAGCAGAGCTATGGCCAGGGCTGGAATAGACTTCTCTCATTTTTGGGCAATGCAGAAATGGTAACACAGATGGCATAAAATTATGTCCAAGCAATTTGTTTGTCTTTCTATTTGGAAGAACTGTTGATCTAGCTTATAGGATGAAGCGGCCCATTTTATTGATTTTTAAAGAGTTAAAAAACCATTTATAACCTGAAAGAAAACCTATTTTATTTAGAAACAAAGAGGCTGAATGAGGAAAAAGAATATAGCTTACCAACATTTATGCTAAAAATATGGGCAACTCAATCTTGTGGGTGTGAACAATTGTGTTGATTTATTTTTTGTAAAAAGTACCTGTGTTTCATATTGATTCTGGACACAACCCCACGACGAAAACACCCAGTGCCCCCAGCTCCCTTTTACTTCCCTGAGATTGCTGAGTTACAGCAGTGGTAGTGCGAGTGCTTTATGAAAGGTTCACTTCTCGACCACCTCCAGGGACAGGACATCAGGGTGAGTAACATGCTCCCCCATTCAGCTGTCCTGAAAACAAGACATTCCAGAAAGCTGAGTTGCACAGTGGTTCCAGAGCAGATACTTCTATACATATCTGAGTTTTGGAGTACAGAGTGGAACATACAGAACAGTGAGGTTTGCCTAATGCTGTCTCAGAAAAAAATAATAAATTGGATCAAAACTTAACATTGCAATCCTATGCCTACTGCAGGTCTTCCAGAGGAAAAAAAAAAACACAGGCTCATATGTTAAACAGTAAGGTATCTCTTAGGCGTTGACCCTGTTTTCATGGTAAATTAACACATTCAGTGCTTTCCAGGATTTGGACAGTAGCCAGTTACTCAGATAAAGCCAAGAAGACAATGCCTCAGCAAAGGTTCTTCTGCCTTTATTTTGACAAGTGTCTGTGTAATTATTTTGTATGGGAGTTCAAGTCCCATTTGACATATTGCATAGCAGATGGTCAGGGTGCGCAGGGGCTCCAGGAGACTTGGAACACAAGTTCAGACTGTACATCTGGATTAGCATTCCTCGTAACAAGCCCAGCTGCTGGACATGGGGCTTGAAACCAGCACCATGTTAGCCTATCCTCCTCCTCCCTGTTACTCTCTGCGGACTGTAACAACCGTACAAGACCAGGGGGCCACAGCAAATTGTATTTCTTTGTAAACACCATGCTTGGACAGCTACATTTCCTTAGCAGTTCTACAGAGTTGCAGAGAGTCTTTGCCGGATAGTGAAGAGTGGCACAGCAGTTGGCATTTCACTCTTTCAGGGATCACAGGGGAAATCTGCAGGGTGGACATAATGTCACTGAAGCTAAAGCATTTTTTAATTCCCAGTGGTATGTGGCCACTTGTGTGTTGGGCAAAGAGAGACTTGCTGAGTTTTTCCTTGATGTCTCCTTTATGCCATAATTGCTCAGTCTGGACAAGAGGTTTTAGGATTAATTTTTTTCCAATTTCGGCAGTAGAATTTTATAGGGTCTGTAAGAGGAACACATGAAAGCTAATTTCATTTCCTCGTGTCTGCTCACTTCTTTAATGTCTGGTGGCAGATATTGCACTGGCCGAAATGAGCTGTTATCTGCGATCTGCTTTTAGTGATGATACATGAAACAAACAGAAAGCTGCTGAAGTTTTATAACCTGAACTGGAAGTGCTGATAGCAATAACCACAGGAAAAACAAGCAGGCAAAAAACAAGCAGACAAAAAGCCAGCATGTTTCTGGGCAAGTTAAGTACATAAACATGACATGCAAATCACTAAAGGAATACAGATATGCAGCCCAAAAGTGTCATTTGGAGACAGACCATCCTTTTACCAGATGCATATCTGAACCTAGCACAAGGTCTTTTCTTAGCTTACAGCTGTCCTAAAGAAAGCAGCCGCATTCTGAAACTGCCAGAGGCTGAGGTGTAGAAATGAAGAAGCAGGGGATGTCTGAATGCTAAATAAATCAAGAAATGCAGTGCTTCAGCCTTGAATTTAATCAAAAACTCATCAGACAGCAGACTGATTTTACCTCGGCTCTGACTTGCCAGCCACAGAAACAAAAAAAAGAAGAGAAATCGCTCCACCTGACAGGGGAAGAAAAAAAAAAAGAGCATGCTTCTAGGGGAAGAAGCAAGCTAACTTTGCACTGCATTAAGCTCCTACTAGGAATAGATGGCTTGAGATTTATTTAATTGGTATTCTGCAGTCTGGAGAAATGAGGGTTTCTCCGCTCTATGATGCAGCCAGTAGGTGGTTGTCTGGTTTTCTCTTTATAGTAGAGTATGGTGAAATGTATCATTCTTGGCAAAGCTCAGAGGCAACTTGCTCGTGGGTATGTCTGCTGGGCTTCAGATGGATTTTCGCACCGCATCAGCTGTGGAGGAAATGCTGTGCTTTCAAAAGTAACCCATTTGCATCTGTTATTTCTCAGACAGCCCAAGGGAAGCATGGGGGAACTGCGGGAAGGGGTTGGAAATCTGTTTCAGATGCCAAGAATGCGGTTTTTCTTTTCTGTTCGGATTTTTTTTTCTTCTTGAAATTCTGTCTATGGATGTGGTTTGTACCATATCAGAGTACAAAAGTGCACCAATTGAATCTTTTCATTATTGACCAGGCAGAGTATTTATAAAGCATTATAGGCCAGCAACCAAGGATAAAGCCAACCTAGATATCTTTTAATTTAATCTTAAAATGTGTACATCAAAACTCAGCCATGAGCAAGAACTTCAGTGGATGTGAATCAGCATAGCTTCATCAAAGTGAATGGAGCTATATCGACTAGAATGGCATGCATAAGGTTTAAAATATCACTAACTATAGTGACAGCCAGGCACCTTGTCAGAAGTAAGATGACACATAGAAAAATGAAATAGCTAAGCCACGTTGAAGAATGAAGTGTTCCTTGAAGGTTTTTAGGAAGATTAAGAGAGAACTTCACCATCTTCCCTAAACTGTAGAAAACAAAGTGCATTTAGTCAAGGATCAGAAAGTCTAAATAAATCGATGACACAACTGTTCGGTAGAATCTGTCCAGAAACCACAAAAATGCTGGCAAGGAGAATAGGCATCTGCACTGAATGATAAAAGAGACTGCCAGAGGGAAGGATAAGACATCTCAGAGCTGGGCAGAGGAGGAGGCTTGGATGGATATCTGTTGTTGTGTTTGCACAATTTTTTGTTAGCTTCAAAATCAGTTTGGATGGAAGGAGAGATTCCCCCACAGCACACCCCCACACTGCCCCATCATCACAATTTACGACCCAGTCTGCAGAGAACAGCAGGCTCCTGGAGTGCTCCCTGCTTCAGCTACAGCCTGCCAGGATGCAAAGTCAGTGCAGAGACACACAGGTCTGGTGGCCCACCAAGAGCTGAGCACCTCCTGGGAGAACTGCAGGTCAAAAGGGTATTCAGCAAGTTCCCCTTGAGACGACATCTTATAACTCCTCTTTCTCCTGTTTCACATGTCTTTGCACCATGTTACAAACACTGATGATGGCCCAAAAATTAATCTGAAGATTTAGATTACATGCTATTGTTGCACTGGTTGATGAAGAGTGTCCTACAAGGTAGTGGAGAATATAGGCTTAACAAAAAGTGCAGTCTGAGTTGTAACTGGGTCCCATTCTGTCTCCCATCTCCTTCCGGCACATCATGCACTTTTTCTCCAATCCATTCTGTTCTGTGACATAAGTGAGCCAACACTTTGAGAATGTCCCTGCTCAGGACAGCGATGAACATAAGTGAGCTATAAGGTTCAAGCTTTGATGCTTTCCCAAACCAGAGCCACAGGAGGCAGCTGTTGAGGGTGGATTGATGTTGTAACATGGCTGTTGTTACAGTACTTAGCTAATGAGAGACTGGAAGGCAATTGTTTCCACACTGTTAGCTGCATTCATTGGAGTAAGTTTGTGCATTTACCAAGTCAACAATTCATAACTAAGATAAATTCATCTCTGTCAGTCTGCTTTTGTTTCCTTTATACATTCCTGGTTTTGTGGATTTATAAGACATTTGAAGGGATTTGT